CTTCAAATGCCACAGACAGACAGACGGACCCTTCGACAGGTACAGCGCCCCAATGATCACCACCCACCCTGATGGGAGCTGGTCTTACTCCAAAGCGACTCAGCAGTACGACGTGTGCTTCAGCTCAGACACACTCAAAAGCGACGTAGTAGTTTTCCCTGGGCCCTTTCCGCCTGTAGAAGCAGAACTGATCAGTATTAATGGAGGAGACACCTTTACCAGGACTCAAACTTTACCCACCTCTGAGAAGGTAGGATTCATGTCTTTGGTTTTCTTTGTCTGACCAGTATGATATTGATGTTTTACGCATTTGAATGTAGCCAAAAGCTTGACTATTATGAAGCACAAAATTGTGTTTCGAAATGTACTTTTTAGCAGTGAAAGCACCCAAAATTGTAATTATTTACTTTTTTTTGTCAAGCTGGTTTACGATCACTAGCACCTGTGCCTGCTTACATATTTGTAGTCAAAACAACACATTACCCATTCTGCAATATTGTCTTTGGTAAGGAAGAACAGTGAAGTGGCTTGATTACGGTTTGTTGTCCATTTGTGTTGTGGAACATTGACATGGTAAGAGTAATGATGAGGATTTAACATTTTAATCTGTCAACAACCGGAAGGGGTGTAGCTCTTTCTTAAAATGTTTGTACTTGTTAAAATGTACAATGTCTCACACACACAGTCATCTCCACATATGATTTATTTATTTCTTTTTACCGAATCGCCATCACTGCTGTCCAACATTGTGAGGCTTGCTTTCCATTGTTCTGCTTCTGGTAATTTTAAAAAAAAAGGCCTCAGAAGTACGTTCACTCGAATATAGTGTTAAGATAACTCTCCACTTCCATGTAATAAATTCAAGGGGAGAAAATATTGTTGTTATAAAATGTTGCTAATTTTATGTTAATTGTTTTGTGTGCAAAAACAATCTCAGAAGCTTGATTTGACGCAACCATCGGAATTAACTTGCTTCAAATTCCACTTATGACGTGTTAATGATGGTTTCATAGAATTCCATACTATTTTTTATAAAGCTGTCCCATGCTTTGAAAAAGAGTGGCGTAGTTTATTTTCTATATATTGTAAGACATATGTTTGTTGTGTTACAATGACATTGTAAATAGAATAGTGAGATGTTTAGTACAGGAGGCAGGGACATTTGAGCTGCCATTTTACTTCACTTGTTTACATACCCTGGATCGTATTCACGTTTTTTTTTTTTTTTGGGTTGTTTTTTTCTTCGAATGAGTTCTTCCGTCGTGTTTTGTGAGACGCTGTCCATGGTCCTGGACAATTTTTAGGCCGTTCTGAATGAACGAGTTGTCTGAACTAAATATGATTGAAATCATTAACGGCTTCTTGAATGTGTCCATTTAAATATCATAACTTCGTTTGCTTTCATTATTGTAGCGTGACACCTCCATCACAGATGTAGTGGGCGTGGAGGTTACTGTGGAAAACGACTGCCTTTGTTGTTTGTTTTAAAGAGAGCATGTCAGCGACTTATCTGGTTGTTTCTGGATCGTGACATTGTTTGTATCTGGATACAATGGACATGATGGAAAATCATCTAAAAAACGGTGTACTTTCCGTTTTTATGAAGTGTTAAATACAGTATTTCTTCTGCACTTCATTGATACCGGTCTTCATGCTGAGTGATATTGGTTGGTAATGTATGGAATGATGCGCACGTTGGGCAGATGGAGCCCTGGGCGGATATATTTGCTCTTCCTGCTGCTGGAGTGTTACTGGGAATGAGAGGCAGGGGCATTTGAGCTGCCATTTTACTTCACGTGTTTACATACCCTGGATCGTATTCAAGTTTTTTGTTGGGTTGTTTTTTTTTTCTTATAATGAGCTCTGATGTCGTGTTTTGTAAGACGCTGTCTATGGTCCTGGACAAATGTTTAGGCCATTCTGAAAGAACGAGTTGTATGAACTAAATGTGATTGAAATGATTAACGGCTTCTTGAATGTGTCCATTTAAATATCATAACTTCGTTTGCTTTCATTATTGTAGCGTGACACCTCCATCACAGATGTAGTGGGCGTGGAGGTTACTGTGGAAAACGACTGCCTTTGTTGTTTGTTTTAAAGAGAGCATGTCAGCGACTTATCTGGTTGTTTCTGGATCGTGACATTGTTTGTATCTGGATACAATGGACATGATGGAAAATCATCTAAAAAACGGTGTACTTTCCGTTTTTATGAAGGGCGGATATATTTGCTCTTCCTGCTGCTGGAGTGTTACTGGGAAGCCGTGTGCGGCCAACTCTCTTATTCGGTAGCGGAGGAGGTGAATGTCGGGACCGTTGTGGGAAATATTGCGAAGGATTTAAGCCTAAATGTGCAGGATTTGGAGTCCCGCATGTTTCAGATCGTTGCGGGAAGCAAGAGGAAATACTTTGAGGTAAACCTGAAGACTGGTGTCCTCTATGTGAATGAGAGAATAGATCGAGAGGAACTGTGTGGAGATGAAGCCAAATGTTCACTCAATGTAGAGGCAGTAATTAATAACCCATTGAAATTGTACCGGGTAGAAATAATAAGACAGTGATAGGGGCCGATGCGGCAGGGATCGCTTCCCGAAAGAATTAGCACAGTTTGTTCACATTTTTTCTTCTTATCGGGTGTTGAAGCTGACATTTTTTGCACCATTTTTACCTTCTGCTTTATGTGAATTTTGGAATGATGAGCGCGTTGGCCAGATGGAGCCCTGTGCGGATGTATTTGCTCTTCCTGCTGCTGGAGTGTTACTGGGAAGCCGTGTGCGGCCAGCTCTCTTATTCGGTAGCGGAGGAGGTGAATGTTGGGACCGTTATGGGAAATATTGCGAAGGATTTAAACCTAAACGTGCAGGATTTGGAATCCCGCATGTTTCAGATCGTTGCGGGAAGCAAGAGGAAATACTTTGAGGTAAACCTGAAGACTGGTGTCCTCTATGTGAATGAGAGAATAGATCGAGAGGAACTGTGTGGAGATGAAGCCAAATGTTCACTCAATGTAGAGGCAGTAATTAATAACCCATTGAAATTGTACCGGGTAGAAATAATAATACTCGATGTCAATGACAATTACCCATTATTTTCTAGTAGTAAAGAGGTGCTGAACATAAGTGAGACGACACCAGTAGGATCAAAATTTCCTCTGCACCCAGCTGATGATGCAGACGTTGGTAAAAATTCTGTAAATTCATATAAGATCAGCCAAAATGAACACTTCTCTCTTGAGGTACAAAGAGGAGAAAGTGCGACCCCAGAATTAGTGCTTCAGAGGCTTTTAGACCGAGAAAAACAGGCTGTGATCACACTCACATTGACTGCTATTGATGGAGGAACACCACCGAAATCAGGCACATTGACTATTATTGTGAATGTGCTAGATAGCAATGACAATACACCTGTATTTAGTCAAACGCTCTACAAAGCTAGCGTATATGAGAATATCGAGATTGGCACATCAATAATAACCTTAAATGCGACTGATTTAGATGCGGGTCAAAATGGAAAAGTGTTATATTCTTTCAATACTGGAGGAAGACAGAAACAAACTAATATGTTCTCTATTGATGAAAAAACAGGAACAGTAACAAATAAGGAAAACATTGACTTTGAAAAAGCAACTGCATTTGAACTCCGAATACGAGCCAGTGATGGAGGGGCTTCTCCCTTAACCTCTCATGCCAAATTGTTGATTGAAGTTTTGGATGTCAATGACAATGAGCCTGAAATTTCAGTGACATCATTATTGAACACAGTGAAAGAAGATGCAAGCATTGGCACAGCGATTGCAATTGTCTCCGTTTTGGACAAAGACGGAGGTAAAAATGGCTTGGTGCACTGTAAAATAAATAGTAATGTGCCTTTCAAACTTGAGCCGAATTATAAGAACTGCTATTCGTTGGTTGTTGGTGGTCCTCTTGACAGAGAGAACATCCCAATGTACAATATCAGCATTACTGCAACCGATGAAGGCCTTCCACCTCTGTCCAGCACCAGTATTGTTAATGTGCGCATCTCAGATGTTAATGACAACAAGCCTCACTTCTCAGAGGCCCTCATTAATATTTATATCAAAGAAAATAGTTCACCAGGGGCAGTAATACATAAAGTGACTGCACTGGATAGTGACATTGAACAAAACGGGCATGTGACTTACTCATTTTTGCAAAGTAGTACAGACTCACTGCCAGTCACTACAATGATAAATATCAACTCAGAGAGCGGAGACATTGTCAGTTTGCAATCTTTTGACTACGAGAAGTTAAAGACATTTCACTTCAAAGTTAAGGCCACAGACTCTGGTGTTCCTCCGCTCAGCAGCAGCCCTCATTAATATTTATATCAAAGAAAATAGTTCACCAGGGGCAGTAATACATAAAGTGACTGCACTGGATAGTGACATTGAACAAAACGGGCATGTGACTTACTCATTTTTGCAAAGTAGTACAGACTCACTGCCAGTCACTACAATGATAAATATCAACTCAGAGAGCGGAGACATTGTCAGTTTGCAATCTTTTGACTACGAGAAGTTAAAGACATTTCACTTCAAAGTTAAGGCCACAGACTCTGGTGTTCCTCCGCTCAGCAGCAACATGACTGTAAACGTTTTTGTCCTGGATGAGAATGACAACAGTCCCGCCATTTTGGCTCCCTATTCCGAGCATGGCTCAGTGAACAGTGAGAGCATCCCCTATACTGCCGAGGCGGGATAATTTGTGGCAAAGATCAGGGCAGTGGATGCAGACTCTGGATACAATGCACTGCTCTCCTATCACCTGTCTGAGCCCAAAGGCAGCAACAACCTCTTCCGGATCGGAACCAGCACCGGGGAAATTCGGACCAAGAGGCGAATGAGCGACAATGACCTGAAAAGTCACCCCTTGGTGGTGTTGGTCTGTGACAACGGAGAAGCCTCCCTGTCAGCGACTGTGTCAATTGATGTGGTGGTGCTTGAAAGCACAGCTGACATCCACATTCCGTTCAGACATGTGCCCAGCAAGGAGGAGAGCTTCTCCGCCTTGCACTTGTATCTGCTCATCGCCACTGTCGCCGTGTCGATTATCTTTCTGCTCAGCCTCATCACTTTAGTAGCCTTCAAATGCCACAGACAGACAGACGGACCCTTCGACAGGTACAGCGCCCCAATGATCACCACCCACCCTGATGGGAGCTGGTCTTACTCCAAAGCGACTCAGCAGTACGACGTGTGCTTCAGCTCAGACACACTCAAAAGTGACGTAGTGGTTTTCCCTGGCCCCTTTCCACCTGTAGAGGCAGAACTGATCAGTATTAATGGAGGAGACACCTTTACCAGGACTCAAACTTTACCCACCTCTGAGAAGGTAGGATTCATGTCTTTGGTTTTCTTTGTCTGACCAGTATGATATTGATGTTTTACGCATTTGAATGTAGCCACTAGCTCGATTATTATGAAGCACAAAATGGTGTTTCAAAATGCACTTATTAGCAGTGAAAGCACCCAAAATTGTAATTATTTACTTTTTTTTGTCAAGCTGGTTTACGATCACTAGCACCTGTGCCTGCTTACATATTTGTAGTCAAAACAACACATTACCCTTTCTGCAACATTGTCTTTGGTAAGGAAGAACAGTGAAGTGGCTTGATTACAGTTTGTTGTACATTTGTGTTGTGGAACATACTAATGATGAGGATTTAACATTTGCAACTGTCAACAACCGGAAGGAGTGTAGCTCCCTCTTTAAATGTTTGAACTTGTTAAAATGTCCAACGTCACACACATAGTCATCTCCAGATGTTATTTATTTCTTTCTTTTTACCAAATCGCCATCACTGCTGTCCAATATTGTGAGGCTTGCTCCCCATTGTTCTGCTTCCGGTGATTTAAAAAAAATTAGCTAAAGGCTTCAGAAGTGCGTTCACTCGAATATACCCTAGAGATAACTCCACATCCATATATTAAATTCAAGAGGAGAAAATAGTGTTTTTATAAAATGTTACGAATTTTATGTTCATTCTTTTGTGTGCAAAAACAGTCTCAGAAGCTTGATTTGATGCAACCATTGGAATTAAGTTCCTCCAAATTCCACAAATGACATGTCAATGATAGTTTCAAAGAATTACATACTTTTTTTTTATTTTTATAAAGCTGTCCCATGCTTTGAAAAAGAGTGGCGTAGTTTATTTTCTATATATTGTAAGATATATGTTTGTTGTGTTACAATGACATTGTAAATAAGCGCGTGGCATGATGGGCAAAAAAAATAAAAATAAAATGCTGAACGTAAATAATTTACCACAGACATGATAAAACCATAGACTTACGAATGAACAATGTTTATATTTTATATTTTAGTGTACTGGTAAAATAAATAGTTTTTTTACTCGACCATGCGCACATCAATACCTTGTGGCATTATGGGAAAATGCTACGTTTGTCGTATTTAGCCTAAAAATACATTTGAACTTGTATTTGCGAGTACATTTGAACGTATACGTACTCGCAAGTATGTTTGAATATTTTTGCTAGTCCCAATATTTTTCCTCCACATTGGCAGCTCCACACTTCCGTAAGAGTCCCTTGTTTTAAAATGACATCGATGTCTCAAGCAAAGAAAAATAATGTGATTTACTTTCTGTATGCTGTACGTATATGTTGTGTATCCCTGATAAGATAAATTTAACAATATAGAGATGTTGGCAATGGAATGTGTTGAACATGAGAAAAGATGGTTGATTTTATCCATCATCACTGTCCCATATCAGAGTTCGCACTTATTTAAATACAGGCGATGTAATATTATAGTGCTCAGGTTTTCTTTTGTAATCGCTGCTGAGTTGACAGTCTGCTCTTGTGGGATGTGGTAAGCGTGGTTCTGAATACATTTCATGAGAGTTTTTGAATCCGCGTTTTGTCAGAATCATATATGAATACATTTATTCAGGAGATCCATTCAAATTTATCATTTTTAACCTTACCGACTCGACAGATACATGGTGGTGGACGGGGTGGTTTGAGGGAATATTCTTGTGGAAAAATGCTGGCATTTATTGTTTGTTTATCTTGAAGAAAGTAATATTATCTGAGCGATTTATACATCAGTTCTAAATCATGACATCATTGATGTCATGTTAACAACATTCTATCAGGTGTAGACCTGTTAAAGTGGCATGTATGAAAATCACATCACTTTCTGCAGTCAAACGGTTCTTTTTTAAAACTTTTTTTTTAACTCGTTTATGCATTGGACCTACTATTGGGGATCTATTTGGAGCATTGTTGTGTTTTTAGTTGTAGTTCAAACAAACGTCCACTAGAGAGCACAATGGACCATGACATTGAAGCGCCGTCCTCCGCGGCGCGGGGCTCCTCCCAAATGTTCGTGATGCTTTTCGTCATTCGAACAAAGAAGCTCAGTGGGTGAAAGAGTCTAATGCGACGGAGATGGTTATACGGAAGAATTAAATCAGTTTGTTCAAATTTTTCCTTCATAGCAAGCGGAGAGTAATTTTTGCACCGTTTCTATACCTTTATGCCGTACTCGCATGCATGGAAAGATGCGTCCATCGAGCATGTGGAGCTCTGTGCGGATGCATTTGTTCTTCTTGCTGCTGGAGTGTTTCTGGGAAGCCGTGTGCGGCCAGCTCTCTTACTCGGTGGCGGAGGAGGTCAATGTTGGGACCGTTGTGGGAAATATTGCGAAGGATTTAAACCTAAACGTGCGGGATTTGGAGTCTCGCATGTTTCAGATCGTTGCGGGAAGCAAGAGGAAATACTTTGAGGTAAACCTGAAGACTGGTGTCCTCTATGTGAAAGAAAGAATTGATCGAGAGGAACTGTGCCAAGGTGAAGCAAAATGTTCACTCAGTGTAGAAGCGGTCATTAGCAATCCGTTAAAACTGTACCATTTTGAAATTATTGTCTTGGATGTAAACGACAATTATCCATCATTCTTGAGTAAATCACAGATGTTAAATATTACAGAAAACACAGAGCTGAGCACAAAATTTCCCCTGCGTGCAGCTCATGACGCAGACGTTGGCAAAAATGCAATATATTCATACAAGCTCAGCCAAAATGAACATTTTTCTCTCGAGGTACAAAGAGGAGAAAGTGTGACGCCGGAATTGGTGCTTAAAAAGCTTTTGGACAGAGAAAAACAAGCTGTGATCACACTCACATTGACTGCAGTTGATGGAGGAACACCACCCAAATCAGGCACAATGACTATTGTTGTGAATGTACTGGACATTAATGATAATGCTCCTGTTTTTAGTCAAAGTCTGTACAAAGCAAGTGTCCATGAGAACATTCGCATTGGCACCTCAATAATAACATTAAATGCTACTGATTTAGATGCAGGTGAAAACGGACTCGTTTTTTACTCTTTTAGTGAAGTGGGTAGAGGGAAGCAGAATGATTTGTTTGCTATAGACAAAACAAGTGGGACGGTTACCAACATACAGAATTTAGATTTTGAAGAGAGGGGCAATTTTGAGGTTAGAGTACAAGCCAGTGATGGGGCAAGAACTTCGCACACCAAATTATTGATTGAGGTTTTAGACATCAATGACAACGCCCCTGAAATTTCATTTACATCTTTATTCACCACACTGAAAGAAGATGCAACGATGGGCACTGCCATTGCACTTGTCTCTGTGCTGGACCAAGATGGAGGTAAAAATGGTTTGGTCCACTGTAAAATTAACAATGATGTGCCTTTTAAACTTGAGTCAAATTATAAGAATTATTATTCTTTGGTTGTTGCTGGTCCTCTCGACAGAGAGCGCATACCTGTGTACAATATCAGCATTTCTGCAACCGATGAAGGCATTCCACCTCTGTCCAGCACCAGTATTGTTAATGTGCGCATCTCAGATGTTAATGACAACAAGCCTCACTTCTCAGAGCCCCTCATTAATGTTTACATCAAAGAAAATAGTCCACCAGGGGCAGCAATACATAGAGTGACTGCATTGGATGATGACATTGATCAAAATGGGCATGTGATGTACTCATTTTTGCAAAGTAGCACAGACTCAAACAACCTCTTCAGGATCGGAACCAGCACCGGGGAGATTCGGACCAAAAGGCGAATGAGTGACAATGACCTGAAAAGTCACCCCTTGGTGGTGTCGGTCTGTGATCACGGAGAAGCCTCCCTGTCAGCGACTGTGTCGATTGATGTGGTGGTGCTTGAAAGCACAGCTGACATCCACACTCCGTTCAGACATGTGCCCAGCAAGGAAGAGAGCTTCTCCGCCTTGCACTTGTATCTGCTCATCGCCGTTGTGGCCGTGTCGCTCATCTTTCTGCTCAGCCTCATCACATTAGTAGCCTTCAAATGCCACAGACAGACAGACGGACCCTTCGATAGATACAGTGCCCCGATGATCACCACCCACCCTGATGGGAGCTGGTCTTACTCCAAAGCAACTCAGCAGTACGATGTGTGCTTCAGCTCAGACACACTCAAGAGCGATGTAGTGGTTTTCCCTGGGCCCTTTCCACCTGATTAATGGAGGAGACACCTTTACCAGGACTCAGACTTTACCTAACACTGATAAGGTAAGAAATTTTCATGATATCAAATCGTCTTTGTAACATGGATAGTCACACAGTAAACAAGTCAAATATTCTAGCTGTGTTTTGTCACGTGTACAGTGCCAATTATTTAGTGGTGCCTTTTAAAAACAATAAAATAAAATCAAAATATAAAAAATACGTTACCATAAGAAATGCTGAAGAAAATAATACATATTACTTGGAAACATTTCCATGACCAATGTTCGTTCAGTTGATATATTATAATGTACTTTAAAGGCTTTAAAAAAAAAAAAAAGAGGTGTGTTTTGAAGGCAGAGATGCCATGTTTCAGATCTTGTGTGGGATGGAGTTTGGAAGTTGAAACGTTTTAGATCATCAAGATTCTTGCTATTAGAGGAGCAGGAAGTGTGCTTTGAAGGATGCAAGGGGTCTGCAAGAGTTCACGGAAATAAAGATGTGTGACATTTTGGGGAGCTCTAAATTTATTTAAATAAATATTAAATACTTTTACCCAGTACGAATCCAGTATAGGTTAAGAGGACATGAATGATATGTTCAACTGGTTCATTTATTTATAGTTTCACTGTTATCAAGCTTCGATTTGCCTTTGAACACCTGCAATATAACATATGACAGTATGATGCATTTTAGGTGATACTCGTTTGTGAAATTGCAATTTAAATCAACTGATTATAAAAGCGTCGAGAATGAAGTGCTGATATCTGAGCAGATTTTTTGCTCGAAAAAAACTCTGCTTTAAAAAAAAAATGTTGGGTCGCTCTCCGTGGTACTGAAGCGAATGATACTCGAGCCCTGTCCATGATAGATGCATTTTAGAATAGAAAAAACACATAAAACTCTACTATCCTATATTATGCTATATTTTACAGTTCAACACTAGTCTTCCAATTCTTTAAAGTTTTATGCATAGGATTTAGAAATCTTCTTTTGAGATTGTCGTTGACATGCATTTCACCACAACCGTCGCAAGGTGACGCACGAGACCGTGCTAAAAAATGCGTGCGCACATAGACTGGAAGAAAAAACGTCACAAATGGGGAGTGTTCATCGTCGAGTGAACACAGTTGCGACGAGCCACACCAGGGGAACGTAAGCGGCAAAAGCTACATACACGGATATACATTTGTGCTTTTTTTATATTATTATTTTTTTTCATTCCTTGTGGATATACCAAAGGCAAAACGGGATTGATGTCAATTTGAGCGGGAATGGCTTCTCGGGACCAATGGGTTACCATTGGGGGTCTGTTTTTCTCTCTGCTTTGTCTGTGCGGCTGGACTACTGCTCAAATATCCTATTCCATCTCGGAGGAGGTAGACAAAGGGACCGCGGTGGGAAATCTCGCAAAGGATTTAAACCTCAGTGTGCAACAACTCCTGTCCACGGGTCTGCGGATAAACTCCGCGACGAAAAAGCGGCACTTTGACGTTAATTTGGAATCAGGAATTTTGTATGTTAGCGAGAGAATAGACAGAGAGGAGCTGTGTCCGAATGTGTTGAAATGTTCTTTAAATTTAGAAGCTGCGTTAAGTAACCCTCGCAGGCTCCACCAAATTGAGGTTGTTATTAATGATATTAATGACAACGCTCCGGTTTTTAATCAAGAAATTACAACATTAGACATGTCTGAATATTCATTTCTCGGGGAGCGGCTTCCGATTCCACTAGCACATGACGCAGACATCGGCGCAAACTCAGTGAAGACTTACAAATTACATCCGAATGAATACTTTGTTTTAGACGTGCAAAACAATGGGGACAGCGTTTCTGCCGAATTATTACTGCAGAAAGCTTTAGATCGAGAAAAGCAGGCTGTAGTTGACCTCACGCTTATTGCAGTGGATGGAGGAAGACCTCCCAAATCAGGGACCACACAAATAAAAATAAATGTCCTTGATGTCAATGACAATTCGCCCTCGTTTAGCAAATCGCTTTACAAGGTCCAAGTTGTTGAAAATGCAGATATTGGCACCGCGTTGTTAAGACTGTCTGCTACTGATTTAGACGATGGCGTTAATGGGCAGCTCACGTATTCTTTTGCTGAGACGGGGCGTTTTAACCCTGATGACTCGTTTGCACTGAATGAAAATACAGGAGAAATCACCGTTAAAGGTGATATTGATTATGAGGCAACTCAAGCGTATGAGATTCGTGTCCAAGTGCGGGACAAAGGCGTTCCTCCTCGCTTGGCGCACAGCAAAGTTTTAGTGGAAGTCATTGACGTGAATGACAATGCACCGGAGATCATTGTGTCATCTCTCATGAGTCCCGTGAAAGAGGGTGCTGAGGTCGGCACTGCCGTTGCCATGGTGATGGTCACTGATAAGGATGGGGGTAAAAATGGACAAACAGAGTGTAAAATTGTTGGATCTGTGCCATTCATATTGAAGTTCAATTATAAAAAGTACTACTCATTGTTGGTTGATGGGCCACTTGATAGAGAGGCCACCTCCCAATATCTTGTAACACTTACAGCGACTGATGAAGGAAGTCCACCTCAGTCCACTACATACGTCATCACCATTCAAGTTTCCGATGTCAATGACAATCCACCTCAATTCATGGAGCCTGTAATTAATGTGTACGTGAAGGAGAATAGTCCAGTTGGAACAACTATTCACACTTTGATGACTACAGATGCTGATTTACTTGAAAATGGAAAAGCATCTTATCACTTGATAGACAGTCATTTTAAAACAACCCACACGGCTTCAATGATAAACATTAATTCAGAAAGTGGTCATATAGTCAGTTTGCAGTCTTTTGACTTTGAGAAGTTAAAGACGTTTCAGTTCAAAGCTCAGGCCACAGACTCTGGTGTTCCTCCGCTCAGCAGCAACGTCACTGTAAACGTGTTTATCTTGGATGAGAATGACAACAGTCCCAACATTTTGCCTCCCTATTCCGAGCATGGCTCCGTGAACAGTGAAAGTATCCCCTATTCTGCTGAAGCGGGATACTTTGTGGCAAAAATCAGGGCAGTGGATGCAGACTCCGGATACAATGCACTGCTCTCCTATCACCTGTCTGAGCCCAAAGGCAACAACAACCTCTTCCGGATCGGAACCAGCACCGGGGAGATTCGGACCAAGAGGCGAATGAGTGACAATGACCTGAAAAGTCACCCCTTTAAAACTTTTTTTTTAACTCGTTTATGCATTGGACCTACTATTGGGGATCTATTTGGAGCATTGTTGTGTTTTTAGTTGTAGTTCAAACAAACGTCCACTAGAGAGCACAATGGACCATGACATTGAAGCGCCGTCCTCCGCGGCGCGGGGCTCCTCCCAAATGTTCGTGATGCTTTTCGTCATTCGAACAAAGAAGCTCAGTGGGTGAAAGAGTCTAATGCGACGGAGATGGTTATACGGAAGAATTAAATCAGTTTGTTCAAATTTTTCCTTCATAGCAAGCGGAGAGTAATTTTTGCACCGTTTCTATACCTTTATGCCGTACTCGCATGCATGGAAAGATGCGTCCATCGAGCATGTGGAGCTCTGTGCGGATGCATTTGTTCTTCTTGCTGCTGGAGTGTTACTGGGAAGCCGTGTGCGGCCAGCTCTCTTACTCGGTGGCGGAGGAGGTCAATGTTGGGACCGTTGTGGGAAATATTGCGAAGGATTTAAACCTAAACGTGCGGGATTTGGAGTCTCGCATGTTTCAGATCGTTGCGGGAAGCAAGAGGAAATACTTTGAGGTAAACCTGAAGACTGGTGTCCTCTATGTGAAAGAAAGAATTGATCGAGAGGAACTGTGCCAAGGTGAAGCAAAATGTTCACTCAGTGTAGAAGCGGTCATTAGCAATCCGTTAAAACTGTACCATTTTGAAATTATTGTCTTGGATGTAAACGACAATTATCCATCATTCTTGAGTAAATCACAGATGTTAAATATTACAGAAAACACAGAGCTGAGCACAAAATTTCCCCTGCGTGCAGCTCATGACGCAGACGTTGGCAAAAATGCAATATATTCATACAAGCTCAGCCAAAATGAACATTTTTCTCTCGAGGTACAAAGAGGAGAAAGTGTGACGCCGGAATTGGTGCTTAAAAAGCTTTTGGACAGAGAAAAACAAGCTGTGATCACACTCACATTGACTGCAGTTGATGGAGGAACACCACCCAAATCAGGCACAATGACTATTGTTGTGAATGTACTGGACATTAATGATAATGCTCCTGTTTTTAGTCAAAGTCTGTACAAAGCAAGTGTCCATGAGAACATTCGCATTGGCACCTCAATAATAACATTAAATGCTACTGATTTAGATGCAGGTGAAAACGGACTCGTTTTTTACTCTTTTAGTGAAGTGGGTAGAGGGAAGCAGAATGATTTGTTTGCTATAGACAAAACAAGTGGGACGGTTACCAACATACAGAATTTAGATTTTGAAGAGAGGGGCAATTTTGAGGTTAGAGTACAAGCCAGTGATGGGGCAAGAACTTCGCACACCAAATTATTGATTGAGGTTTTAGACATCAATGACAACGCCCCTGAAATTTCATTTACATCTTTATTCACCACACTGAAAGAAGATGCAACGATGGGCACTGCCATTGCACTTGTCTCTGTGCTGGACCAAGATGGAGGTAAAAATGGTTTGGTCCACTGTAAAATTAACAATGATGTGCCTTTTAAACTTGAGTCAAATTATAAGAATTATTATTCTTTGGTTGTTGCTGGTCCTCTCGACAGAGAGCGCATACCTGTGTACAATATCAGCATTACTGCAACCGATGAAGGCATTCCACCTCTGTCCAGCACCAGTATTGTTAATGTGCGCATCTCAGATGTTAATGACAACAAGCCTCACTTCTCAGAGCCCCTCATTAATGTTTACATCAAAGAAAATAGTCCACCAGGGGCAGCAATACATAGAGTGACTGCATTGGATGATGACATTGATCAAAATGGGCATGTGATGTACTCATTTTTGCAAAGTAGCACAGACTCAATACCAATAACTACAATGATAAATATTAACTCGGAAAGTGGAGATATAGTTGCTCTTCAGTCTTTTGACTATGAGAAGTTAAAGATGTTTCAGTTCAAAGTTCAGGCCACAGACTCTGGTGTTCCTCCGCTTAGCAGCAATGTGACCGTAAACGTTCTTATCCTGGATGAGAATGACAACAGTCCCGCCATTTTGGCTCCCTATTCCGAACATGGCTCCGTTAACAGTGAGAGCATCCCCTATTCAGCTGAAGCGGGATACTTTGTGGCAAAGATCAGGGCAGTGGATGCAGACTCTGGATACAATGCACTGCTCTCCTATCACTTGTCTGAGCCCAAAGGCAGCAACAACCTCTTCAGGATCGGAACCAGCACCGGGGAGATTCGGACCAAAAGGCGAATGAGTGACAATGACCTGAAAAGTCACCCCTTGGTGGTGTCGGTCTGTGACAACGGAGAAGCGTCCCTGTCAGCTACGGTGTCGATTGATGTGGTGGTGCTCGAAAGCACAGCTGACATCCACACTCCATTCAGACATGTGCCCAGCAAGGAGGAGAGCTTCTCCGCCTTGCACTTGTATCTGCTCATCGCCGTTGTGGCCCTGTCGCTCATCTTTCTGCTCAGCCTCATCACTTTAGTAGTCTTCAAATGCCACAGACAGACAGACGGACCCTTCGACAGGTACAGCGCCCCAATGATCACCACCCACCCTGATGGGAGCTGGTCTTACTCCAAAGCGACTCAGCAGTACGACGTGTGCTTCAGCTCAGACACACTCAAGAGTGACGTAGTGGTTTTCCCTGGGCCCTTTCCACCTGCAGAAGCAGAACTGATCAGTATTAATGGAGGTGACACCTTTACCAGGACTCAGACTTTACCTAACACTGATAAGGTAAGAAATGTTCATGATATCAAATCGTCTTTGTAACATGGATAGTCACACAGTAATCAAGTCAAATATTCTAGCTGTGTTTCTTCACGTGTACAATACCAATTATTTAGTGATGCCTTTTAAAAACAATCAAATAAAACCAAAATATACAAAATACGGTACCATAAGAAATGCTGAAGAAAATAATACATATTACTTGGAAACATTTCCATGATCAATGTTCGTTCAGTTGATATAATGTACATTAAAGGCTTAAAAAAAAAAAAGAGGTGTGTTTTGAAGGCAGAGATGCCATGTTCCAGATCTTGTGTGGGATGGAGTTTGGAATTTGAAACGTTTTAGATCATCAAGATTCTTACTATTAGATGAGCAGGAAGTGTGGTTTGAAGGATGCCAGGGGCCTGCAAGAGTTCACGGAAATAAGGATGCGTGACATTTTGGGGAGCTCTAAATTTAAATAAATGTTAAATACTTGTACCCAGTACGAATCCAGTATAGGTTAAGAGGACATGAAGGATATGTTAAACTGGTTCATTTATTTATAGTTTCACTGTTAACAAGCTTCGATTTGCCTTTGGACACCTGCATTAAAACACATGACAGTATGATGCATTTTAGGTGATACTCGTTTATGAAATTGCAATTTAAATCAACTGATTATAAAAGTGTCGAGAATGAAGTGTTGATATCTGAGCACATGTTTTCCTCGAAAAAAACTCCGCTTAAAAAAAAAATGTTGGGTCGCTCTCCTTGGTACTGAAGCGCATGATACTCGAGCCCTGTCCCTGAGAGATGCATTTTAGAATAGAGACAATACATAACACTCTACTATCCGATATTATGCTACATTTTAAAGTACAAAGCTAATCTTCCAGTTCCTTGAATTTTATGCATAGGAAAAAAAAAATTAAAATCTTCTTTTGACTTTAAGCTGCATTTCACCACAACGGTCGCAAGGTGACGCACGAGACCGTGCTAAAAATGCGCCTGGTGCGCACAGACTGGAAGAAAAAACGTCACAAATGGGGAGTGTTCATCGTCGAGTCAACACAGTTGCAACGAGCCACACTAGGGGAACGTAAGCGGCAAAAGCTACATACACGGATATACATTTGTGCTTTTTTATATGATTATTTTTTTCATTCCCTGTGGATATACCAAAGGCAAAAGGGGATTGATGTCAATTTGAGCGGGAATGGCTTCTCGGGACCAATGGGTTACCATTGGGGGTCTGTTTTTCTCTCTGCTTTGTCTGTGCGGCTGGACTACTGCTCAAATATCCTATTCCATCTCGGAGGAGGTAGACAAAGGGACCGCGGTGGGAAATCTCGCAAAGGATTTAAACCTCAGTGTGCAACAACTCCTGTCCACGGGTCTGCGGATAAACTCCGCGACGAAAAAGCGGCACTTTGACGTTAATTTGGAATCAGGAATTTTGTATGTTAGCGAGAGAATAGACAGAGAGGAGCTGTGTCCGAATGTGTTGAAATGTTCTTTAAATTTAGAAGCTGCGTTAAGTAACCCTCGCAGGCTCCACCAAATTGAGGTTGTTATTAATGATATTAATGACAACGCTCCGGTTTTTAATCAAGACATCACGACAATAGACATGTCTGAAAATTATTTTCTCGGAGAAAAACACCCGCTTCCACTAGCACATGACGCAGACGTGGGCGCAAACTCAGTAAAGACTTACACATTACATCCGAATGAATACTTTGTTTTAGACGTGCAAAACAATGGGGACAGCGTTTCTGCCGAATTATTACTGCAGAAAGCTTTAGATCGAGAAAAGCAGGCTGTAGTTGACCTCACGCTTATTGCAGTGGATGGAGGAAGACCTCCCAAATCAGGGACCACACAAATAAAAATAAATGTCCTTGATGTCAATGACAATTCGCCCTCGTTTAGCAAATCGCTTTACAAGGTCCAAGTTGTTGAAAATGCAGATATTGGCACCGCGTTGTTAAGACTGTCTGCTACTGATTTAGACGATGGCGTTAATGGGCAGCTCACGTATTCTTTTGCTGAGACGGGGCGTTTTAACCCTGATGACTCGTTTGCACTGAATGAAAATACAGGAGAAATCACCGTTAAAGGTGATGTTGATTATGAGGCAACTCAAGCGTATGAGATTCGTGTTCAAGTGCGGGACAAAGGCGTTCCTCCTCGCTTGGCGCACAGCAAAGTTTTAGTGGAAGTCATTGACGTGAATGACAATGCACCGGAGATCATTGTGTCATCTCTCATGAGTCCCGTGAAAGAGGGTGCTGAGGTCGGCACTGCCGTTGCCATGGTGATGGTCACTGATAAGGATGGGGGTAAAAATGGACAAACAGAGTGTAAAATTGTTGGATCTGTGCCATTCATATTGAAGTTCAATTATAAAAAGTACTACTCATTGTTGGTTGATGGGCCACTTGATAGAGAGGCCACCTCCCAATATCTTGTAACACTTACAGCGACTGATGAAGGAAGTCCACCTCAGTCCACTACATACGTCATCACCATTCAAGTTTCCGATGTCAATGACAATCCACCTCAATTCATGGAGCCTGTAATTAATGTGTACGTGAAGGAGAATAGTCCAGTTGGAACAACTATTTACACTTTGATGACTACAGATGCTGATTTACTTGAAAATGGAAAAGCATCTTATCACTTGATAGACAGTCATTTTAAAACAACCCACACGGCTTCAATGATAAACATTAATTCAGAAAGTGGTCATATAGTCAGTTTGCAGTCTTTTGACTTTGAGAAGTTAAAGACGTTTCAGTTCAAAGCTCAGGCCACTGACTCTGGTGTTCCTCCGCTCAGCAGCAACGTCACTGTAAACGTGTTTATCTTGGATGAGAATGACAACAGTCCCAACATTTTGCCTCCCTATTCTGAGCATGGCTCCGTGAACAGTGAAAGTATTCCCTATTCTGCTGAAGCAGGGTACTTTGTGGCAAAGATCAGGGCAGTGGATGCAGACTCTGGATACAATGCACTGCTCTCCTATCACCTGTCTGAGCCCAAAGGCAACAACAACCTCTTCAGGATCGGAACCAGCACCGGGGAGATTCGGACCAAGAGGCGAATGAGTGACAATGACCTGAAAAGTCACCCCTTGGTGGTGTCGGTGTGTGATCACGGAGAAGCCTCCCTGTCAGCGACTGTGTCGATTGATGTGGTGGTGCTTGAAAGCACAGCTGACATCCACACTCAGTTCAGACATGTGCCCAGCAAAGAGGAGAGCTTCTCTGCCTTGCACTTGTATCTGCTCATCGCCGTTGTGGCCGTGTCGCTCATCTTTCTGCTCAGCCTCATCACTTTAGTAGTCTTCAAATGCCACAGACAGACAGACGGACCCTTCGACAGGTACAGCGCCCCAATGATCACCACCCACCCTGATGGGAGCTGGTCTTACTCCAAAGCGACTCAGCAGTACGACGTGTGCTTCAGCTCAGACACACTCAAGAGTGACGTAGTGGTTTTCCCTGGGCCCTTTCCACCTGCAGAAGCAGAACTGATCAGTATTAATGGAGGTGACACCTTTACCAGGACTCAGACACTTCCTAACTCTGAGAAGGTAGGATGAACATTTATAACTGTAGATTATAAAATTATAATGTCCTCATACTGTGTATTTAAGCAGTTCGTATAAAAAAGTCGTTACACACCTGTTTAAATGCCAGGTTTTTTTTACGCTTTCTCAGATTTTACCGAATACTCAAGAGGCATAGGGCACATTTTGTTCATGTCTCAGAGAACATGTAGGTTGATTAAGTTGCTGTGATTCTTTCAACATTTCTTTTGTCATTATGTAAATCTAGCATGGATTTGCAGGCTAGTACCACAGACAACAAATATCATCTTTTTAAATAGAAAAGCATTGATTTTTCATCCACTCACCTACTTACTCGAAATATGAAGTTCAGCGGATTCTTTCAAAGTTGAAGGGAACTCTTGCCCATGATGATCAGTATTGTTATTATATTTTTCTTTAATTTTTTTATATGTTATTTGTAGTGGGTAATTTTTTTTGTATGACCTATTTGTAGTGGTTCACATGGCTGCCTTGTATGAATGGGCGGATGGATGTATTGTTTGTTCCAAGGCTGGAGGTGTGGCACTTTCCATGGAACGAGAAGAGCAAACATGTCTTTCTAAAGCTTGAGAAATGTATGTTTCAACGTCCTAATGAATGCAATGTTCACCGTTGTGTTTACAACTGATCCTATCTAAACACTGACGGTTATTGGATAGACAGTAGATTTTCCACTGTATGTAGACAGATAAATAGAATATCTATCCATCCATCCATTTTCAACACCACTTATCTTGAATGGGGTTGCATGGAGTTTCTGGAGTCTATCCCATTTGATTCCGCGCAGAAGGCAGACTACACCCTGAACTTGTCGCCATGTTAGTCACAGGGCACATCTCGAGACAAACGACCATTCACGCCCACATTCACACCGTCACTGAGTGGGCACCAATTCCATGCTGCTCACACACAAGTCCGCCGTATGTACCACTTATACCATCAGCGACCTACGTGATTAAATATCACAATTTTAACAATCTTCACAACAACACAAGGTATTTTGATGTAACAAATCCAAATCGTACAACATTGGTCACAGTGCATTTTTTTTAATCTCAATAGCAACATATTGCAATTCTGTCTTTCGCCATGAACCCAAACAACACGATACACATGTGTTTGAAGTGTAGAATGTTTTGAAAAAGACGTTACTGGTCGTTGAAAATGGTGACACGTTTTAACGTTTTAACAGTTATTGACCACACGATGTCGCACTAAGACCATAAATATGATAATACACAACCGCCCCTCTCTCCTGCGATGTAAAATTGTCCCTGGCTTCCGTTTTGACAGTCACTCGGGCTGCATGTTGGCGAGAAGTGCTGGTACCGCCGGAGATTTGTGTTGGTGTCGGATATGCAAAAAGGAGATTTCCATTACTAGCTGGATTGCAGTTTTTTGTACAACGATGGGGGCGGAGGAGTATTTGTGGATTTATATTGTTGCCCTGCTTTTCTTTTGTGACGAATCTGCTTCGCAATTCTCTTACTCCATTTCCGAGGAGATGAACAAAGGCACAGTGGTGGGGAATATCGCCAAGGATTTGAACATCAATTTGCAAGAATTGCACAACAGAGACCTACGTATTGTTTCAAGTTACAGTAAGAAATATATTGAGGTAGATCTTCGGACGGGGAGCCTCTTTGTTAACGACAGAATAGACCGAGAGGAGCTTTGTCCCAGCGCGGCGCAGTGCTTTGTGAGAATGCAGGCAGTGCTGAGCAACCCGATGAGTGTGCACCGCATTGACGTTAACGTTTTGGATATAAACGACAACTCACCGAAATTTGAGGAAGAATTACACATCCTAAAGATATCTGAATCCGTGGCACCGGGAGAAAAATATTTTCTCCCAGAAGCAGTAGATTCAGATACAGGAAGCAATTCAGTAAAATCGTACAAATTAAGTCCAAATGAACATTTTACTCTGGATGTACAAAGTGGCGGAGAACACGGCGTGTCTGCAGAGCTGGTGCTGCACAAAGCTTTAGATCGAGAGAAAGAGCCTATTCATGAACTTACTCTTACTGCTTTAGATGGAGGAAAACCTACCAGATCGGGCATGTTACATATCAAAGTAGTGGTCGTGGATGCGAACGATAACACACCTGTTTTTAGTAAGTCGCTGTATAAAGTGCGTGTAAGTGAAAACACCGCGCAGGGCTCATTTGTGATCAAATTAAATGCAACTGATTTGGACGAAGGAATAAACAGTAAGATTGTGTATTCTTTAAATAAACGAGGCAACAATGATCCATCAAATGATTTTAATCTCAATGCAGAAACGGGAGAAATCACATTGAAAAGTACTTTAAATTATGAAGAGACTCCTGCCTATGAAGTAAGGATTCAAGCAACTGATCAAGGCCTTTCTCCTCGTAGCACAAATGCAAAACTGCTCATAGAGGTAATTGATGTGAACGACAACGCCCCCGAAATAATGGTTACTTCGCTAATGACACCAGTCAAGGAAAATGCAGAATTGGGGACAATTGTTGCGTTGATAACAGTAAGCGACAAGGATGGTGGGAATAATGGCGTAACCAATTGTAAGGTAGTTGGATCTGTTCCATTTAAGCTGAAATCTAACTACAAAAATGATTATTCATTAGTAGTTGATGGAGCACTAGACAGAGAAAACACATCTATTTACAATGTCTCCATTATAGCCACAGATGAAGGAAGTCCGCCTCTGTCGACGAGAAGGATCATTACTATTCATGTTTCTGATGTTAATGATAACGCACCTCATTTTATGGAACCTGTTATTAATGTGTATGTCAAAGAAAATACTCCAACTGGATATTCTATTTATTCCATAAAGGCAGTTGATCCTGATTTGGATGTTAATGCAAAAGTGTCATACACATTGTTAGATAGTTATCCAAGGAATATTCTAATTTCAGCACTTATTAACATCAACCAAGAGAGTGGAGACATTGTCAGTTTGCAATCTTTTGATTACGAGAAATTAAAAACTTTTCAGTTCAAAGTTCAGGCCACAGACTCTGGTGTTCCTCCGCTCAGCAGTAACGTGACCGTCAATGTGTTTATCCTGGATGAGAATGACAACAGTCCCGCCATTTTGGCTCCCTATTCCGAGCACGGCTCCGTTAACAGTGAGAGCATCCCCTATTCTGCCGAAGCGGGATACTTTGTGGCAAAGATCAGGGCAGTGGATGCAGACTCTGGATACAATGCACTGCTCTCTTATCACCTGTCTGAGCCCAAAGGCAACAACAACCTGTTCCGGATCGGAACCAGCACCGGGGAGATTCGGACCAAGAGGCGAATGAGCGACAATGACCTGAAAAGTCACCCC